TTTATACATAATAAAAAAAAAAGTTTATATCGTCTCTATGTGACAACATCTGTCCACATCGCTGGTCTGGAAAAATTAAGTTTCAATTTAATAACCGATTGAATTTGGTTTATTGAAGTCATTTTCATATAAAATAGATATTTATACATGTTGAACGAATATGAATTTATGTGGTATCTGTGTACGTATTATGTAGTATAACTTCTATTATTTTATATTGTACATTTGTAGTTCCACATTACATTTTCACCAATTCTGTTCATGAGAATGACTCTCTTTAAAATATTGATATACTAACCATGAGACATGCTATGATGAGGAACTATCCAACAATGAAGAAAAAGAGAAGATAATTTTATCCATTGACTTTACATCTCTTGAATAATCTCATTAAACTGGTAACACATGCACAACTATTTTACATTCGCAATAATGATACCTCTTTGCGGCAAAATACATCATAAAATACAACCATCTCGTATTTTAGTTTTTTGAGAAAAAATATGTATAATTTTAAATATTTATACGTTTAAACATTGAAAATGACCTAAGCGAGGTCGAAACGTCTGTTTATAATTGTCATATTTTATATTTTAGTTCTTTGTTTAACTTTTGTTTTCGTTTATGTTATAATTATTGTTTACAATTTTTTAATTCTATGTAACTTTCGATTTCGTGTTTTATATAAAATGTTTTCAAAATTATTAAATATTTTATTACTGGATATCTGGCTCGTAGTCCTTCTACATATATTATATAAAAAACGAAATTTGCAGAAACTATTCTTAAAAAATTCGAATAATGATAAAGGTTGATATAAATTATAACAAATATCTATGGGCAAATACAATATTAAGTGTTATATATATTTTAATTTTATTTAGTCTTCCTCAAACAAAATCTAAAACCAATGTTTTTATCTTAGTTGAAAAGAGGAATCGAATAGACTGAAACGTTCCACCATTCGCAACGGTACTTTACTTTAATTGGAAAAGATCCGAGTAAAGGTTGAAATGTTCCGCTGTTTACAGCACTGTTGGTAGTGTATTATTACGTAGATATCTGTGCGTTATGCTGGCTTGTTGACCTACTCATCCTTACTTACGTTTTATAAATTATGAAACGAAATAAGTAACCAGCTAAAAAGTTCCCATCTATGATTGTTTTAAACTCGACAAACATATATACGTAATAAATTTATACAAATTTACGTTTTTGGTTAATCATGATTTTTGTCTATCCGTTTAAATAAATAATGAATTTCTGGGTAACTTTACAAGTTTTGATCTAACTAATGAATTTATGAATATAATTGATTTGAAAGTAAGAGAGAGAGAGAGAGAGAGAGAAGAGAGAGCATACACTCAACTCTACGCAAACTTGTCTTGAAGAAACTTATTTTTGACGTGACATTATTTTGTTGTTTAAGCAGTTTAAAACGGAAAGGATACCCGTACCGTTGAATTAGTCGTACATGTTTATTCTCGTTCACCTAATTACTCAGCGATTCACTGTTACACGCATGGATCTTGATAACGGCCGACGCGACGTCTAATTACACTCTCTTTCGCGAAATGCACGTCAGTCTTCATCTTGTCTCAAGCATCGCTATTCTTAGAACTTTACGCTCTCGGCTTCATCACTACGTGTCGGAACACATACACAACAGTCGATGGTATGTGATCAAAGTTTCGCCTTGCAGGATCATTATCGTCTATTAAAAACTCGTCGAACTCATCAACGAAGTTTCATCGGGAATTTTTAATTGTCAAACTTAAGTATAAGACTTAAGCTTGTTAGAGCTCCGCGTGAAAACTATCGCGTTTATTGTACGTATACCGGATACACGTTTTTTTCGTCCCTTTTCGTCGTCGACTAAATGATAGCAGTACCACAAAAAGCGGAAAGATTAGTTCAGTGGTAGATAAGAACCCCTTTGTTAAAGAGACCTCACTCGTTCCTTTTGACATTTCCGGTTTTACATCGAGGGTTTTTACGTGTTATTACGATAACTTTAATCTGTTTGTAAGAAACGTTCCATATATATGATAATTGCGGATACGATTGTTACGTTTACAAAACGTTTATTTTAGTTCGATAAAATTAAAATCTTTCTTGTAACTTCCTCTTCTCTTTTCTTATTAAAAATTTAGATTAAAAACAAATTAAATGAATTTGTGAAATATCGATTTGCACAAGAATTTATCTAACTTTCTTGTTTGCATTTATAGGACGATCAATAATCATATCTATATATAATGAGATAATTACATTTTTCTCGCGCTCAGGGAAAAAATCTGCTAATTAGTAGATTAATGCTTTCGCTTGTAAACAGACATCAAATTTGCGACAAATATGTATGGAAATGTGTCTCAAACGAATAGCAAAGCTTTCCGGATGGAGACAATCGCCTATTGTGCATACAACCCCCATCAGAATTTCTGGATAAAAGGGGCCCAGGTGCGATAGTGTCTCGCGACCGGATGTAACGTCCCTCTGCATGCAATTACTAGCAGGTGTGAAAACAAATCGAATCCCAAAAAATGTACATTGAAAGAAAGAATACGTTAAAAAATAAAAATGTGATATTGTAATGTCGGTATTGTAAACAAGCAAGAAAATATATAAGATGAACAATCTTTATTAAATAATCTCATTAATCAAATTACGAAACGTTTCGACTCATACAGAAGGCCTCTTCAGTCATATAATAAATATTAGAAATAACATTAAAAAAATAAAATATATGGAAATCCGTCTAATATAGTCATCTTTTTAGTCAAAAGTCCTTAGTGAAAGAAAATCATCACATAAAGTGATATCTACATCATGATTCTAAGGTAACATTATAAACTTTAAATTAATAAAATAGTAAAAAGAGAATAAAATAACTCAGTGTATAGAACTTACGGAAATTTCAGATGCTCTATGTGCAAGTTTCCTTCTTCCAATTAAAATGATATAGTGAATTACAGATGTTCTATGTAAAACAGTTGTCACAAGAATAAAGGAATATATGATTTGGTTGTCGGAATGTCAAAATTTGTTTATTATTAAGATGGTAATAATCAAAACAAACAATCATATGTTTTGTCTAAAGAATATGTTCTTCTTATCAAAATTTTTACACATTATTGTACTTAATATAAAGATATTAATTTCATTGGTATTTTTTAAATAAATCTATACGATTTTTTAATATAATATGATTTTTCTAAATATTCTAGATATAAAGAAGTATTAAAGTAAGCTTATTAAAAAATCGATATTTCACATTTTATTCCAATATTTTTACGTACGAGTAAAATATCACATAAAATATCTATTTTCTGATAACTTTAACTTAATATTTATATATATATAAAATAAAAAATTGATTGATAGAAATAAAACACATAATTGCTTAAAAAAAAAAAACAAATAATTATAATATACATAATTATTTTCGAAAAAACGAGCATTACAAAAAATGTATTCTCAATTATACAGTTTTAAAATGTGCAAAATTTATTGAGGAAAAGTGATCCCCTTATTTTTTAAGTCGTATAATGTATTATTATACTTTTTTGTGTCAATCCTAGTTCATTTTATTATTTTATATATGTATAATAGTACAATATTAAGTGAAATAATTAGAAAAATAAATGTTTTATTATATTATATTTCATATTTTATTCTAATATATTTTGACATAAAATGTAAAATATCTGTGAAACTTTTAAATATTATATTGATGACCTCATATTAACATTTTTAAGTAGAATAACTAAAGGAACATATTATATAAAAAAGTCGAAACGTTTCGCTTTAAATTCTTGTTGAAATTATTATAATAAACTTTGTCAACCGTTTAATATCATATGCTTGTTTATATTACCGAAGTTTGAATATCTTAATTTATCGTTATATAAAAAAATTGTGATTTCATGTTTTAAATATTGGTAACGTTAATATTTAAAAATATATATAAAAAATGTATTGCGCCACATTTTCTTTTTAAAATTGCAAAAGTTTGAGCATTTTTTTTTCAAAATTAATTTTTTCCAAATTATTTATAACTAATAGAGAACATATTGTATATATATTTTTTATATATCTATATCTTTTCTCTCTTATCACTAACGATGAAAAATGTTCTTTATCTTTAGAATTTATCTAACTGATATTGCTTGATAGCCGATAAGTATAAAATATACAAAAAGACCATGATGCCATCACTAAAATAAACATTAACGCTGATGTGAAAAGGATTTAGAACGTGTTTGATTCGATAATATTTTATCGATCGAATCAGAAATGGAACTCTATAAAATGATTATGAGAAAGACATGTATGACATAGTTCAAGAAAACAAAACAAGATTGTGAAGCAGCTTGATTTAAATATTAATTAATTTAAGAAGCAGGATTTCAAATGTTTTACTGTTACATAAAATTTATGGGTTTGCAAGATTTAAGAGAATTTTATCCTGCGCGCATATATTAGTAAATAATTTATTACAAGAAGGGAACAAGCTGAATGCATATCTCTTTGTTTTTTGCACATTGAGATAATAAATTATTCTGTAATTCGATTAAGAAAATATTCATTTTGTTTAATTTATTTATATTAAAAACAGTATAATAAATTAAATTATTTTTTAGTATAATAACAAATTTAAACAAAACAGAATATGTTCTTTATTGAAAATTAAACGTCATAATTTTATTCATCATATTCTATTTAAAAAATATTGTTCTGATTTTCATAAAAAATATTAGTGTGATACGATTTATATATAAATGAATTATTGTAAGAATTCTTAATATCTGCACGAGTTGCATTTTCGCGGCTCTTATCTTACACTGAATATATTACCGACAGTAGACGCTTTTCTGCACGATCGACCATTGGTAGGGCTTCATCTGTACTCGGTACATATCCGGTGGGAAAAGAATAACCGCGCGAGAGTTTCAATATCGATCCCCTTGACTAACGTCTTTTTCCTGTGGATGTTCCAGCGAGCAGTCACATCGCCATCTGCCTGGGACTCTGCGAGGCTCCCTGAACCATACACACAATCATCACCACAATCATCCCCACAGACATGAACTACCACCGTCGACGTACTTCGCACCCCCACCGCCACCACCAGCGTCGAGTTACATCACGGTGCAGCGCGGCTGCGCTCTGCATTCGAGGTGAGTCACACCCGGTATATACTACGGTAGATATTCTCTGTTTGCATCGTCCTCAAAACCGGTCAGAGGGATTAATGAGTTCGCTCACTAATTTACTGCCAGTGTCAATAGACAGTTTATTTCAATTTCATGAGACGACTTCTTGATTTAGTACAGATTTTGAAATCATAGGGAAGTGCAAGACTGTAAGAGATTACCCTTTCTCTTTTGGAGATTATTTAAACTCCATTTTACGACCTTTACGTATATAAAGCTGTAAAGGAATTAGAATAATCTCTGAAAAAAAATTAAAATATTACGTATAATAAAAAATATAATATTAAAGAATATTATATGTAATTGTAAAAGCATGAGATCAATACAATTGCCAAGTATATCATTATAGGTATACAAAGACTTCGAAATTATATATGTACATATTCATATAAAATATTTTAAGATTTCATTTTGCGATTCATATATATGTATATAACAAGCAGTGTGTGCATATATGATTTTAAAATTAGCTAGATAAAGATAAGATGAAAATTTGGAAATTTATCTTAGATAAAGATGATTACATTTGAATTAATCTAGATAATATAGATAAATTTATCTGATAATTTATCTGAAAAATTTCAGATAATTTTTTTATTTTTAAGACTATTCGTTTTATTATAAATTAAGAATCAGTTATTTTTCAAAATAATTGAAAGATACTAAATTTAACAATTTTAATATTTAATAACTCGTTTGTCTGTTATACAATGCCTCTTACAATTTTCAAAAAAATAATGAAGATTCACATAAAAATTCTCTATAGTTCTTTTCTTCTATATTAATTGCATGGAAGTAAGCAATGTGAATGATTATAGTATATCCTATTAGATGCACCCACTCTCTTCCTGAGGCTGAAAATTTTTCTGCAAACATGAACTACGTAGAAGAAAATATTTTAATATTTTCACATTCTTAGCAACGTAAAATATAAACCAAAGTATCTAAACATCATTCTAGATAAAGATGATTTTTTTTCATCTTAAATGCAGAGATAAAGATAATTAATATTTTCATTATCTAGATAAAGATAAGGTAGCATCAAAATTTCATCTAGATGATCATCTAGATAATTTTATCCAGATAAGATAAAACACTGATAACAAGCAATAATTCGTTATTATTCGAACTATTAATTTGACTGCATAGTGAATAACTTATGATTTGTCATCGTAATAAAATCTATGTAAGAAAATGTATAAACCTTTTTCAATGATTATACGTGTGTCTCTATATCTCTTGACAAAGAAAACGAAACATAAGAATGACTCGTTCCTTCCTCGAAATACTTGCTATTCAAAGCGGTACGCACAGCCTGACATGGAAATACGAATCGCGCTGCTTTGCTTGTTGCGGATTCTACGATAGTACGATGAAGCTTTTATTCGGTAATGCGCCGCGGATGATCGATCACGTCGCGTGTTCCGCAACAATTCATCTCAAGTTGGAAGTTCTTGATAGCATTAGATTTTAATTACGACTTCAACCACGTCGCTCTATTATTATTTTGCTCTATTGTTGATTTTACGGCCCTCTTTGCATTGTCAAACGTCTATTCGATAGAGACGTTTACAGCGAAGTACTTTGTTACTTTATAAAAAGGAAATCGATCATTTCCGTTTTAAAAATAAATACATTACTCGTGTTCGAAAATTTATATGAGCTATACATCATCTTAATAAGATATCGTTTCCTCTACCCACAATTGGAAAAGATAGAAGATTATAATGGATCATTTTATTAACTTTTATAGGATGAGAAAGCTACTGTAGTGATGTTGAAACTGTGATATTTCGAGTTGTAACAAATTTTACTTATGTCAAAACTCTGTAAAATTTTAAATACATAGATTTCCGTTGTCTGAAGGTTAAATCGGTTATAAACGTATATCTGTATCAGCTGCGAGATATCCAGCAGGGAATTGATTTAAAGAGCAGTTATATAATACAACGAGTGCGATATCGGAGATGTTTAAATATAGGCGAGACGCGCACTTAAATCCAGACTGTACCGCCGATGATTAAAAGCGACGTAATTCCGATTGCTGTACTTGTAAGCAATCCACCCTTCAAACAAGTCGGCTTTTGAAATACATACGAAAAATCTGGCGGATCACGTTTTTCCAGTGCTGGGGGATTGTCCGTATATCGGAGAAAGAGTCTCCGATATATGCGGACAAATCAGCCGGGTTGCTCATACTGTACATCTCGTACAGTGACTTGCCGAGGGAATCCCTCCCACCTTTTGCATGCCCCGATAAAGGAAATAAAGAGGTTCTTATCGCCCTCTCCACTTCATTCTCCTTCATCAACCTTTTTCATTCGCAGCGCCGTTTAAATCATCAACCTGGATGGGAATGCATTTGCTCCTCTCCTTCTTTTTGCTACTCTTTCGAGTTCGGCGCGTTTAATTCTCTGTTTTGATAACGCTATGCGGTATCGATTCTCGATTAATGATACGAACTTCGCAGATTATATACATACAGATTCTTTGATAAGCATTGAATAAATTTTGTAGTAAATATTTCACGAGATATTTCTCCTGGTTTTCAATTTTCTTGTTTGCATTAAGCTTCATCTCGCAAGACTCGTTATCGAGAACGATGTTTTTGATGACTGAAAATACCGCAGGCGTCGTTTAATACGGCACAAAACCGCGTTTTTGATAACAACTCCGCTCTAGCTCGTATATATACCTATATACAACCAACCTAGAAATTAAATCGACGCAGTTCGCATTAACGATGAAAGTAAGAAGGATGCCGGGGGAGCTTGAAGAAAGTGGTCGAAGACCCGACTCCGACCTTCTCTCTTTTCCGAAGAAGCTCCGAGTTTTCCTCGCCGCTTGACACTAAACCTTGCACTGCGCGTTGGAATTTTTACTAGACGGACGTCTCGTAAACTCGGATACTCGAGCGGCTTGTTTTTCCTTAACTGTCAGATTTTATAATAGCTCATCTGACCGATGTCGCCTGTAACGTTCGTGAAATAGCATGCGTTGGAATAACTACCCCTATTAACGTATCGTTTGTATTTAAATAAACTATAAAGAAAACTAACATAAATAACTAAGGAAATAGAAATTTTAATTAAGTTAAATCAAGTACGGTACTAAAGATATATTCTATTTTTTAACTATTAAAGTATAGTAAAAATGTTTTTCGAAAATACATATCACAATTCAAAGTCCAATAATACCGCAAAATTAATTTTTACGATATTCTTTATCAATGTGCTTTATATTAGAACATTGCGTTATGAGTGTACATTGAAATTGTAAGCACTATATAATTAGATAATGATTTATGCAATAATAACTTAAAGAATTAGCTTAAGCCGTAATCACCCTAGCGATTGCACGATCGTGGTTGACGATTGAGAATTACTTTTCCACCAGTTACAGCAATCGATGACTGCTTTGCTCTGATTGGTTGAAAAGTAAACCTCAATCGTCAATCATAATCGCGCAATCGCTAGTGTGATTACTGCTTTACATCTATTATTTATTTTGGTAACTATATGTTAAAATGGACCAAATATAGATAGACACACAAATTGAGGGACACACAATAGGGTCATTGCTCCTTGAAAGAACACACTAATAGGAACAAAACATTTTCTTTATTTTTATATATAAAAACATAAAATATTAATTTTTTAAATAAAAAGTATCACCAGAAAGAGAAATAGTGGAGAAACCGATATGGATTTCGAACAGACAAAATTAAAACTATAATATATAGATAATAATAAATACAGTAATGAACAGGTTGACTCAAAGGTATATTAATAGGTATAGTTACCCTACTGTTGCAGAAGCACAAACGAGTCGAAGGATAATATCGCTTTTCGGTAGAGTAAACTCGGTGCCAGCGAGTAATAATCGTAACAACCGTTGTGTTTTCAAAGTAATTGGACAAATGAATTGTGATAAACGGCAACCCGAGAGTTACCGTTCGGCTACGTTTCTAACACGGTTCTGCGGTATCGCGACTTCACGCGACAAATCTGGTTGGAATTCTGTCCGACAGGCGAAAATAAAAGAACCCGAGTCTATGATTAATGTTCCGTCACAACTTACGAGCAATATTCCGTCAGGAATTTTATGATTTTTGCGTTAGCCGCGAACAAAGGGGTTACGAAATTAATTTTTGCAACCAGGTCGCCCTCTCCGCGTCTCAATAGCCCTGCACCTTTCGCTCGCAGCGAGCAGTTTCGGCTTTAATTTCCACGCGGGTCGATTCGTCGTAATTTCTGCGCGGTATCTATTCGCAAAACGTATATCTCGCAATGCTCGGTAAAACGGAACCCCGCTGTCGCGCGGGCGTTGTTACGTGCCGCAAGTTTATCTGCCGGCAGCGTCTCCACCATAATGGCGCCGAGAGTCTCGTCGCGCCATTACTTTTCATCCCTTATCCTTTCCTCCTTTTTTCATCCCTTCCCATCGACACGGCGAAGTGCATCTGCTATCCCACGCTCCCGAAGCTTACGCGTTTCCCTCTCGTTTCTTCCGCGATAATAGAAGTAAATTCAATTGTACGTATGTGTAATGGGGGCTTCTTGTTTGTCGTATTTGTTACTTGAATTTCGCCTCTTGCTTTGTATTTGGGTACCATCATGGTGTAATATCGTCGAAAATTAGTTGTGTCCTTTTTATAACACGGTTTATTTTTTGATTGCTTCAGATTAACTTGAGTAACTTTTACTGTAATTTATTATTATTGTAACCAAATCCATCTTATAATTATGGTATCTTCTGCTTAACTATTAATGGATGCGGTTTATAATGCAATCAAATTATTATGATTTAATAATAAAAAAATCTCCAAAAGCGTATCGTGTTATCGTATTTATGGATTCTGACCGTAAAATATCAATCAAAAATATTTCAAAATCAATAAAATTATTCTTAATACTTTTCACTTGTTGAAGTTTATATACGTAATGTATCATACATAATACAAT